AGAAAACGCCATATCCTATTTGTTATCTATGTGGGTTAAAAAATTGCAAGAAAAGTTAAATACGAGTGGTCAATGACTGATAGTTGATAAAATTGTTGTGAAAACCATTACTATTTGTTTTCCCAATTGATTCACATTTTTATTGTTATTTTTTTAAGTTGTAACTCTTTCAATTTAGTCGATTTAGAAATAAATAATAGACAAATTACAGACGTATTATATCTAAATAACACCCACAATATAAACTTAATGGTCGAGTTTAGCAATTTTATCTATTAACGCGACGATTTATTTTAAAATTATAAACATCCCATTTATTTTAAAACATTCAAACTTTCAAACAATCGTTTGTATAAAGATTAATTAATGCCTTTAATAATACAATTTTTTATAGACAAATATAAAATTATATTTACAAATGATTATGATGTACTTATTTGCTACTTTTTAGTAGTATTATTAACTTTTTTTTAATTAATTGACATTATTTACGATAATTGTAAATGTTTATTACCCCTTTATCGTAAATCATCAAGTCAATAGCGTTTTTATTGTTAGATTGTTAGCTCGATTCTTAAATTTATGACAGTTTCGAGATGTTTTCCTTATTATTATTGAAACGATTCGATAAAACTGTGATATTTAGTATTTTTGTAATTATTAATTTCCTTTCGTTGTTTCTATATTTATCTTTTCAATTTTTTTAATCACATTTTTATCTATTCCGAATAAATTTAAAATTCTTGTTATGATTTCTAAATTGATTAATAAATATTTACAAAGAGATTAAGAAACAAAATAATATTATAATGAAAATAAGTGTATATTGATTCTGTGGTTTCCAAGAAAAAGAAATTTTATTATTTAAAAATCGTTTATTTTTAATTTTTGTTTCTGTTAAAAGGTTATCTTTTCGTTAATTTATGATGCGTTAAATCTACACACGTTCTGTTTCGGGTAATTAGTCGTTAACTTTGAATTTAGCAATAATCAACTTGTACTTTGTTCTATTGATTAATTAAGAAATTTTATTTTTGTTACTAATTTTGTTACTATAGCCAAATCAAGTACATATTTTATTAATAAAAACTATTTAATTTGAGATTATTTGATTTTATGGATGATATTATTGCCATAATAATGTAAGATCCATCTGAAAACGATTTGTTTTAACAACCAAAACAATTATATCTAAAAAATAATCAAAGTTAGATACCAATTAGTTATGGATTATGGTTTTTGATTCATTATTAACGTTTTTTATACATAAATTTAATCTCCATCGATTTCAGATTTTAAATCAGAATTAATTTTAATAATAAAAAATCGTGAATTTTAAGATTTTGGGAAATCTTTACCTAGTATACGCAAACGATCATTGCTAGATGTGAATTAGTTATGGATTTTGTTCTTTTGGTTCATTATCAACTATTTTTATCCATAAAGTTAATCTACATCGGTTTCAGTTTTTGAGTTAGAATCGATTCTAATCAAAAATCATCCGTTTTCTGATTTTGGTAAATCTTTGGCTTGTACACAAAAACGATCATTACTAGATGGAAATTAGTTATGGATTATGTTGGTTTGGTTCATTATCAATTAGTTCTATCCATAAAATTAATCTCCATCGGTTTCAGTTTTTGATTTAGAATCGATTCTAATCAAATATCATCCATTTTCTGATTTTGAGGAATCTCTCCATTATATTTAAAAAATAATCAATGTAAGATACAGATTAGTTATGGATTATGCTTTTTCGATTCATTATTAACTTTTTTATACGTAAATTTAATCTCCATCGATTTCAGATTTTGAATTAGAATGAATTTTAATAATGAAAAATCGTGGATTTTAAGATTTTGGGAAATCTTTACCTTATATACGCAAACGATCATTGCTAGATGTGAATTAGTTATGAATTATGTTCTTTTGGTTCATTGTCAACTATTTTTATCAATAAAGTTAATCTCCATCAGGTTTCAGTTTTTGAGTTAGAATCGATTCTAATCAAAAATCATCCATTTTCAGATTTTGAGGAATCTTTCCATTATATCTAAAAAATAATCAATGTTAAATTCAAATATGTTATGAATTATGTTGTTTTGGTTTATTATTAACTATTTTTGTCCATAAATTTAATCTCTATCGGTTTTAACTTTTGAGTTAGAATTAATTTTAATAATAAAATTCATGCATTTTAAGATTTTGGTAAATCTTTGGCTTATACACAAAAATGATCATTACTAGATGGAAATTAGTTATGGATTATGTTGTTTTGGTTCATTATTAATTAGTTTAATCTCCATCGGTTTCAGTTTTTGATTTAGAATCGATTCTAATCAAAAATCATCCATTTTCTGGTTTTGAGGAATCTTTCCGTTGTATCTAAAAAATAATCAATGTTAAATTCAAATTTATTATGAATTATGTTTTCTCGGTTCATTATTAACTATTCTTGTCCATAAATTTAATCTCCATCGCTTTTAGCTTTTGAGTTAGTATTAATTTTAATAATAAAAGTCATGCATTTTAAGATTTTGGTAAATCTTTGGCTTGTACACAAAAACGATCATTACTAGATAGAAATTAATTATGGATTATGTTGTTTTGGTTCATTATCAATTAGTTCTATCCATAAAATTAATCTCCATCGGTTTTAGTTTTTGATTTAGAATCGATTCTAATCAAAAATCATCCATTTTCTGATTTAGAAGAATCTTTCCATTATATCTAAAAAATAATCAATGTTATATTCAAATTTGTTATGAATTATGTTTTTTTGGTTTATTATTAACTGTTTTTGTCCATAAGTTTAATCTCTATCGGTTTTAGCTTTTGAGTTAGAATTAATTTTAATAATAAAATTCATGCATTTTAAGATTTTGGTAAATCTTTGGCTTATACACAAAAATGATCATTACTAGATGGAAATTAGTTATGGATTATGTTGTTTTGGTTCATTATTAATTAGTTCCATCCATAAAATTAATCTCCATCGGTTTCAGTTTTTGATTTAGAATCGATTCTAATCAAAAATCATCCATTTTCTGGTTTTGAGGAATCTTTCCGTTGTATCTAAACAGTAATCAATGTTGAATTCAAATTTATTATGAATTATGTTTTTTTGGTTTATTATTAACTGTTTTTGTCCATAAGTTTAATCTCTATCGGTTTTAGCTTTTGAGTTAGAATTAATTTTAATAATAAAAATCATACATTTTAAGATTTTGATAAATCTTTGGCTGATACACAAAAACGATCATTACTAGATGGAAATTAGTTATGGATTATGTTCTTTTGGTTCATTATCAACTATTTTTATCCATAAAGTTAGTCTCCATCGGTTTCAGTTTTTGAGTTAGAATCGATTCTAATCAAAAATCATCCATTTTCTGGTTTTAAGGAGTCTCTCCGTTATATCTAAAAAATAATCATTGTCAAATTCAAGTTTGTTATGAATTATGTTTTCTCAGTTCATTATTAACTATTTCTGTCCATAAATTTAATCTCTGTCGGTTTTAGCTTTTGACTTAGAATTAATTTTAATAATAAATATCATGCATTTTAAGATTTTGGTAAATCTTTGCCTTCTATAGTAAAACGATCCTTACTAGATGGAAATTAGTTATGGATTATGTTGTTTTATTTCATTATCAACTATTTTTATTTTCGATTCTAATAACATAAGTCGTTCATTTTGTGATTTTGAGGAATCTTTCCATTATATCTAAGAAATAATCAATGTTAGATACAGATTAGTTATGGATTATGTTTTTTTGATTCATTATTAACTTTTTTTATACATAACTTTAATCCCCATCGGTTTTGGCTTTTGAGTTAGAATTAATTTTAATAATAAAAATCATGCATTTTAAGATTTTGGTAAGTCTTTGCCTTGTATATAAAAACGATCATTACTAGATGAAAATTAGTTATGGATTATGTCGTTTTGGTTCATTATCAACTATTTTTATCCATAAAATTAATCTCCATCGGTTTCAGTTTTTGAGTTAAAATCGATCCTAATCAAAAATCATGCATTTTGTGATTTTGAGCAATCTTTACCCTGTATACAAAAACGATCATTACTAGATGTGAATTAGCAATAAATTATGTTTTTTCAGTTCGTTATTAACTATTTTTATGCACAACATTAATCTCTATTAGTGTTAGCTTTCGAATTAGAATCGATTCTAATAACAAAAATCATCCATTTTGTAATTTTTACGCATCTTTTCATTATATCTAAAAAACCATCAATGTTAGATACAAATTTGTTATGTATTATCTTATTTTGATTCATTACCAACTATTATTATGCACAACATTAATCTCTATCTGCTACAACGTTCGAGTTAGAATCGATTTTAACAACAAAGATCCATTTTGAGATTCTTTTACCTATATCTCGTTTAATATGCGTTTTTTTGAAAAAACCATTATATGCAAAATGAAAGCAGATACAATTTTCTTCATCTTATATATTCAAAAAATTTTCGTATGATCGGCCGTTTAGCCACTAGAGCGCGCTGAAACAGATAAAAGTAAAAAAAACATTAAAATGCATTTCAGTTTTTAACTTATCCATTAATAAAAATCAAAATTTATTTTGTAAAAATTCCGATCAATCTGGAAATTTTACTTACTCACAATTTAATCAGTGATTTGAAAGATTTACAGTTTCGGGTCATTTAGAAATCAGTTTAATTCTAATTTATTGAATTGAGATAAGTTAAGATATTTATTTTAAAATATTTTAATGGGGATATTATAAATTTTGTAAATTAAATCTATTCAAAAAATAATATTGTATATGTTAATTTAATCATTAAAATTTAAAAACCATTTCATGTATTAATAAAAATCTTTTTCTCAACAGAATTAATTTCTATATATCTACAGAAAATATGCGATATCTGTTTTGATTAATATAGTTGTAGCAGGAGGTATTTCGCTTGTATATATCGACGACCTGTAGCTAAAACTCTCAATACCTTGCCAGTCTCTGTGCCAACAACAACTCCAATAACTAAGTTCCAAGTGATAACTATTTTTAATTGCGTTCAAGAAAATATGTTGTATTTTTTAATTCTTTTTTTAACAACTTGTGGTAAGTAACTAATAACTAACTAGTATTATTTTACATAATAGAAAAAAAAAGAATTGAGTTAAATCTAATTTAATAAAACAAGATTTAATTTCAAACGATTTAAAATCGAAAGTATTCCTTAAAGGTTTCTTCTTTATTTTTTTTATGCAGTGCAAAAAAAGTATTTAGTTTAATTGAATCCCCCTCTTTTATATTTTAAATCGAAATTGGAAGTGAACAATTTAACAATTTCCGTTAATGATAAAAGTTTTAAAAGATAAATTTAAATTTAAACTTATTTATTTTTATAAATTAATATTTTCACATTGACGTTTTCAGTTATTCAATAATGTTTGTTGCATGTCGCGCTGTTAATTTTATCCTGGCACCTTTGAATGGACTAAATATACCGCTTTTCTCGTTGATTATTCAACAAGTTTCAAGCAATTTTCTTTAACAAAAAAGATACCTTTAGACTTATGAATATTTATTGTAAAATGATATTTATTACTCGGGACGTTAATGAATCTAAAAAGCGAAAAAAGAAATTTTTTTGAAAATGTCAAGGTAGTTAATATTAATAAATTTGTTAATTATTTTAATTTTTTTATGTTTTATCAAAATTATTAGGCAATTATGGTTTAAATTATTACTTTTTTATTCTTATTCTTGCTCGTTTGGTTACGTAATGCTTATTTATTGTATCAATTCTTTATGATGATAAAAAGAATTGTTGAAAAGAAAAGTGAGTTATGTTCATTAATGGAACCTGTTTTGTATTTCTAATTAGAACAAAATGTACTTCTTGTTTACTATATTTTTAGAAATGTAAAGGTTCCTATTCTAAAGATGATTACTATTTTTTTATTTAATATTTTAATATGTTCCAATAAAGATTAAATTTAAAAGAAAATAACTCAAAAAATAGTTGGGATATCAGGATGAAATAAAATAGAATTTAAAGCAAATTTCATTCATTTTCAATGTGTAAAGTATAATTCCTTGATTTTTATAATTGCCAATGATATGATTTCTTTAAATGAACCTCGCTGTAGTAGTTAAGGATAGGTTGATGATAAAAGAACTTTAAGCCATCATAACTCAAAAGCTAATCGAGATATCTCAATGAAATGAAAAGCATTTTAAAGCAAATTTATTTATTACTTAATCTGCCAAAAATTATTTTCGTACTCCTACAAATCTCGTCGTTATGATTTTTTTAATACAACTCCGTTCGGTTAATAGTAATTAAATTAAAAAAAATCATATCTCAAAAAATAAATGAGATATCAGGATGAAATAAAATGCAATTTAAAGCAAATTCCATTCAGTTTCAATGTGTAAAGTGCAATTTCTTCATTTTTATAAATGCCGATAATATGAATTTCGTAAATGAACCTCGCTGTGGTAGTTAAGGATAGGTTGATGATAATAGAAATTTAAAGCATTATATCTCAAAAGCTAATTGAGATATCTCAATGAAATTAAAAGCATTTTAAAGCAAATTTATTTATTACTTAATCTGCCAAAAATTATTTTCCCACTCCTACAAATCTCGTCGTTATGATTTTTTTAATACAACTCTGTTCGGTTAATAGTAATTAAATTTAAAAAAATCATATCTCAAAAAATAGATGAGATATCAGGATGAAATAAAATGCAATTTAAAGCAAATTTAATTCAGTTTCAATGTGTAAAGTAAAATTTCTTCATTTTTATTAATGCCGCTGATATGAATTTTTTAAATGAACCCCGCTGTAGTAGTTAAGGATAGCTTGATGATAAAAGAATTTTAAACCATCATATCTCAAAAGCTAATTGAGATATCTCAACGCAATGAAATGCATTTTAAAGCAAATTTATTTATTATTTAATCCTCCAAAAATTACTTTCCTACTTCTACAAATCTCGTCGTTACGATTTTTTTTAATACAACTCTGTTCGGTTAATAGTAATTAAACTTAAAAAAATCATATCTAAAAAAATAGATGAGATATCAGGATGAAATAAAATGCCATTTAAAGCAAATTCCATTCAGTTTCAATGTGTAAAGTGCAATTTCTTCATTTTTATAAATGCCGATGATATGAATTTCGTAAATGAACCTCGCTGTGGTAGTTAAGGATAGGTTGATGATAACAGAACTTTAAGCCATCATATCTCAAAAGCTAATCGAGATATCTCAATGAAATGAAAAGCATTTCAAAGCAAATTTATTTATTACTTAATCTGCCAAAAATTATTTTCGTACTCCTACAAATCTCGTCGTTATGATTTTTTTAATACCTCTCTTTTCGGTTAATAATAAGTAAATTTAAAAAAATCATATCTCAAAAAGTAGATGAGATATCAGGATGAAATAAAATGCAATTTAAAGCAAATTTCATTCAGTTTCAATGTGAATGCCGATGATATGAATTTTTTAAATGAACCTCGCTGTAGTAGTTAAGGATAGCTTGATGATAAAAGAATTTTAAACCATCATATCTCAAAAGCTAATCGAGATATCTCAATGAAATGAAAAGCATTTCTAAGCAAATTTATTTATTACTTAATCTGCCAAAAAATATTTTCCTACTCCTACAAATCTTGTCGTTATGATTTTTTTAATACAACTCTGTTCGGTTAATAGTAATTAAATTTAAAAAATCATATCTCAAAAAATAAATGAGATATCAGGATGAAATAAAATGCAATTTAAAGCAAATTTCATTCGATTTCAATGTGTAAAGTGCAATTTCTTCATTTTTATAAATGCCGATAATATGAATTTCGTAAATGAACCTCGCTGTGGTAGTTAAGGATAGGTTGATGATAACAGAAATTTAAAGCATTATATCTCAAAAACTAATTGAGATATCTCAATGAAATTAAAAGCATTTTAAAGCAAATTTATTTATTACTTAATCTGCCAAAAATTTTTTCCTACTCCTACAAATCTCGTCGTTATGATTTTTTTAATACAACTCTGTTCGGTTAATAGTAATTAAATTTAAAAAAATCATATCTCAAAAAATAGATGAGATATCAGGATGAAATAAAATGCAATTTAAAGCAAATTTAATTCAGTTTCAATGTGTAAAGTAAAATTTCTTCGTTTCTATAAATGCCGTTGATATGAATTTTTCAAATGAACCTCGCTGTAGTAGTTACGGATTAGTTGATGATAAAAGAATTTTAAACCATCATATCTCAAAAGCTAATTGAGATATCTCAACGATATAAAAAGGATTTTAAAGCAAATTTATGTATTACTTAATCTGTCAAAAATTATTTTCCTACTCCAACAAATCTCGTCGTTATGATTTTTTTAATACAACTCTATTCGGTTAATAATAAGTAAATTTAAAAAAATCATATCTCAAAAAGTAGATGAGATATCAGGATGAAATAAAATGCAATTTAAAGCAAATTTCATTCAGTTTCGATGTGTGAAGTACAATTTTTTAATTTTTATTAATGCCGATGATATGAATTTTTTAAATGAACCTCGCTGTAGTAGTTAAGGATAGCTTGATGATAAAAGAATTTTAAACCATCATATCTCAAAAGCGAATTGAAATATCTCAACGCAATGAATTACAAGCATTTTAAAGCAAATTTATTTATTACTTAATCTGCCAAAAATTATTTTCCTACTCCTACAAATCTCGTCGTTATGATTTTTTTAATACAACTCTGTTCGGTTAATAGTAATTAAATTTTAAAAAATCATATCTCAAAAAATAGATGAGGTATCAGAATGAAATAAAAAGCAATTTAAAGCAAATTTCATTCGGTTTCAATGTGTAAAGTACAATTTCTTCGTTTTTATTAATGCCGATGATATGAATTTTTTAAATGAAGCACACTAAATTGATTGAGGACTGGTTGATAATTAAGCCGTCGTATCTCAAGACGTAATTGAGATATCACAATGAAATTAACACTATTTTAAAGCTAATTTGTTTGTTACTTAATATGTTGAAAATTATTTTCTTACTCCTACTAATCTCGATGTTATGATTTTTTTTGACTCTTCGCTTAATAAAGATTTAATTTAAAAATATCGTATCTCAAGAAGGAGATGAGATATAAAAATGAAATAGGAAGCGTTTTGTAGCAATTTTAATACAGATTCAACGCACCACATACAATTCCTTCATTTTTATAAATCTCGATGATACCATATTTTAAATGAAGCACACTAAATTGATTGAGGATTGGTTGATAATTAAAGAAATGTAAGCCTTCGTATCTCAAGACGTAATTGAGATATCACAATGAACTTAACACTATTTTAAAGCAAATTTGCTTGTTAATTAATGTGTTGAAAATTATTGTCTTACTCCTACTAATCTCGATGTTATGATTTTTTTTACCAATAGCCTTCGCTTAATAAAGATTTAATTTAAAAATATCGTATCTCAAGAAGGAGATGAGATATAGAAATGAAATAGGAAGCGTTTTGTAGCAATTTTAATACAGATTCAACACACCAAATATAATTTCTTCATTTTTATAAATCCCGATGATACCATTTTTTAAATGACGCACACTAAATTGATTGAGGATTGGTTGATAATTAAAGAATTTTGAGTGTTCGTATCTCAATACCTAATTGAGATATCACAATGAAATTAACACTATTTTAAAGCTAATTTGTTTGTTAATTAATGTGTTGAAAATTATTGTCTTACTCTTACTAATCTCGATATTATGATTTTTTTAATAATACTCTTTTCTTTTAGTCTTTAAAATATCGTATCTCAAGAAGATGAGATATCAACATGAATTAAAAACGATTTTATAACAAATTTGATTAAGTTTTAATGTATCGAGAACAATTTCTTTGTTTTTATAAATTTCCATGGTACGATTTAATAAGTGATGAATTAATGAATTGAATTTTTTTCACTTCTTAATTAATAATTCCAACCTTTTCAAAATGAAATGTCTTAAACGTTTTCCAATGATAATTTCGTTAATATGCTATCGAAATAATCACCGTTAACTCACAGATTAAGTAACGATTTTTTTAAGCCTCAACAATTTACAACTCAGCCATATTTTTTTATTGAGTCGTAATTCAGCCAACAATTTCATAATTTACGACGGATTTATTTATTTATATATTCAATTATCTACGTTTTTTAGCGACCGCTGACTCTTAAATAACCATAACAAAATTAGACATTTTCTTTTGGCACTCAATATTTTTGTTTGTTTATTAACACTTAATTAATAATACATATTATGTAATTAGAAATAATCTTTATTTTTTTTTTAGGGGTTCAGTTGGTTTTAGGGAGTAATTGGTCTTATGGAGATTCTGGTAAGTAAATTAGAAAATTATGAAGTAATTTTTAATCTTTCCTCTTACTCATACATCTAAACAGTTAAAGATTATCGATTATCAAGTAATTGAGTTGTCAATGAGTGGCAATTTGAGATAAAAAAGTTGATAATCTTGTAATTTGTCATTCAAACTAGACAGTAAAGTTAATTTGATGTAAAATATATGTTTTAGGAAAGATATAAAAATTACAATGTGAATATAACAGTCTGAAAATATAAAACGATCTGCCAGTTTTCGCAATTTATTTTTATGACAAAACCCGAAAATATCCATCGTAAATTTTTCCGTTGGACCGTGAAATAACTATTCCTGTTCGGGTGTCACATAAAATAAAATTTTAAAAATATCAAAAATAATAAATTTATGTTAATAAAATTAAGTTAAGTTCTTATTAATTTTATTTACCTAATATAAATTACTTTAATTTAGCTTCTTTATATTAAATTAAAGTTAGAATAATTTATGTTAATAAAATTAATAAATTAAAAAAAAAAAAATTGGCACCAAATCAAAAACTTGTCGCCTATTTTTTTTAACTAACTTCATAAACTAAAACTTCAAGTGAACCACATCAAAAGGCGCGAACAAAACGGATTAGAACATCTCTTGAAAAAAAGTTGTATGTTTTTAAAACCGCATTTAAACTTTTTAAACTGCGTCAAAGAAAATATCGTTTTCGAAAAGAAATACTTCGTTCTCTGATCTTTGACCGTTAAAAACTTTTCAAATGATCAATTCGTGATTTCCAACTATTTTATAAATACATTTTGGCGCACATTTTCCGAGTGCAGTTTGTTGACTGCAACAACCTTTGGCTGTCGACCAAAACGAATTTAAAATGAACGAGGAGGAAATATCGACCATGAGGTATTGTGTCCAGGTTAAACAATACGTTTTTGATCTAGGTGTTTTTCAATTTATGCTTTTGAAATGAAGATGAATTGATTAAAATACTTATTGATGCGAAAACTTTTCAATAATGGATGAAGCTTTGTTTATCAAACGAATTTGATTGATTAAAAATAAACAAACCATGATTTTGAAGTTTTGTTGATTTTAGATTATTAATTAAAATATACATTAATTTTTTTAAATTTTTTAGTAACATATAAATATATATAATATGTTTATTTAAGCTATCGACCCGGTAGCGAGTTTTTTCGCTTACAGTGAACAATTCTATAATATTTATCGTATGTAATTAATTACATAATACAGGTGGTTCAGTTTTTAATCCGGAAACTTTACTAGGATGTAGTACTTGTCAAACTAACACTAATTTTTTATATAAACGTAGCGTCGCAACTCTTTTATTTTCGAGCTATGAGCTCTCAACGTTGAACGCTATCGAATATTAACATAAAAAATATGGGTTGTAAAGCTCATTATTTATTGGTACTTTTTTATCACATTAGTATTTTCCTTAAACTTAATAGTTTCCGTGCAAAAAAATCAATAACAATTAACAAAACTACAAAAACAATTAATAACAATGTTTGGAAAGTTGAAATTAAACTCTTAAAGGCTCTGTTTGTATTAAATTCGAAATTAAAGATAGCTATAAAACTAACAACAGCATTCTTAAATTACTAAGCAGTTACAAGAATAAAGAGGAAACACACAACTGCAGTGTAGTCTATTCTATTTCATGTACCAACTGCAAAGCTAAAAAGAAAATCGCTGAAATAGGTAAAGAATAAAACCAAGGGGGAGAACTTTTTATGCAAAAATTGACTCACTCACTTCAACCCCCGCCGCCAGAAACTAACCCCTTAAAAATCTTAAATGGAAAGGGGTGTCAAGTGATACCTCATTTTAAAGGTCTTTTAAGGTACTACATGTTAGTATTTATTTTTTCTAAATTGATCGATTCGTTTTCGAAATTTTTGCGAAAATCTTTGTTTTGTATTTCCAGCTTTAATTAATATTAAAGACTTTAATCACCTTCTTAAAAGCAAGAATAAGTAATCTTTTATTATTAATTTATAAAATTAAATTACCATGTTCGTTTTTATAACGACCATTAAACCTTTATTATTTCGGAGCAATCCGAAATCTTTGATATTTAGGTTATTTTGACAGTGCCTAAAGCCTACGTTGGCTAGCTTGCCTGGCGTCTGTCAGAGATATTTAGAAAAAACGATTTCTGTTTAGTTTTTCTTTTCTTTTAGGTTTATTTGGTTATTACTTAAACAACTTTTAACTGCTTGAAACGTTCTATTTTATTTTCAGTTATTTAATTTTGTACAAAAACTTTTTGCAGAGAAAATCAACTTAATAATTGTTCAAAGTCATTTTCATTTTCAAAAAGTTCCCTTTGAATTCCACGGCAAGCTGCAGTAATTCTCTGACGAAGTTCTTCTACATTTTGAGGTTGAGGGGTAAATACAACAGACTTTAAATGACCCCATAAAAAAAAAGTCTAATGGCGTCAAATCTGGTGATCCATCTGTTTGGAAACGTATTATCTAACCACTGTCGTACTGGGAGAACATAGTGAGGAGGAGCTCCGTCTTGTTGAAAATGTAATTCATTCTCGTCAAGTAAGGCATTTTCTTCTCTATCCAACTGATTCTCGAGAGCTTCCGTAATTAGTGGATTGATAGTATTTTCTAACATATCCAAGTACACTTCGCCGTTTAAATTTCCATCGATAAACACTGGACCAATCACTTGGTCTCCCAAAATGCCGGCCCATACATTAACTTTTTCAGGATATTGTGTATGCCCTTCTACAGTCAGATGAGGGTTTTCATTACTCCAATATCTGCAGTTATGTTTATTTACAAATCCATTTAAAGAAAAAGTGCATTCATCACTAAAGCAGATATTTTTCACAAAAACGTTGTTATTATTAATAATAGTGGTGATTTCTTCACAAAACTGTATTCTTCTGTCAAAATCGTCTTCAGTTAGCTCTTGATGTATTTTCAATTTATAAGGATGAAATTTGTGATGTAAAACTTCACTTTATGAACAGAACCCAAGGATATACCAGTTGCACGAGATACCTGACGCAATGAAGTATTGGGGTTGATACTGAAATGACCCAACACTTCTAGTTGAGCGGTTTCATTCAAAACTCTCGACTCATTATGTTTTATGTTGGCAACGGACCCAGTCGGAGTGAATTTCTTCATGAGATTCAGGACGTATGTATGAGATACGTTCTTATCTGGATGCCTTTCATTAAAAACTGCGGCAGTTCGTCGAGCACATTCATTTTGGGATCCATACATTAATACAATTTCAATCCTTTCCTGCAAACTGTAAACCCCTTCTTGCTTTTAAGAAGGTGATTAAAGTTTTTAATATTAATTAAAGCGGGAAATACAAAACAAAGATTTTCGCAAAAATTTCGAAAATGAATCGATCAATTTAAAAAAAATAAATACTAACATGTAGTACCTTAAAAGACCTTTAAAATGAGATATCACTTGACACCCCTTTCCATTTAAGATTTTTAAGGGGTTGGTTTCTGGCGGCGGGTGGTTGAAGTGAGTGAGTCAATTTTTGCATAAAAAGTTGTCCCCCTTGGTTTTATTCTTTACCTATTTCAGCGATTTTCTTTTTAAACTTCCGGATTTACAGAAATTGAGGTGGAAAGTTTTGAAATGAACAGCCTGTATATCGGACAAACAGGCAGAAAATTATCAAAACGACTAGCAGAACACAAAACAAAACCTAATTCAAATATATATAAGCATAGATTTGAAACGGGACACAACATTGACTTCAAAAATTCCACCCTTATACACGTATGTAACAAAGGTAATAAACTCGACTTACTCGAACAATTCGAAATCGACAGACGTAGAGATGACCCGAAAATATTACTAATGAATGATCAGATCAACCTTATAGAAACCCCTCTCTATTCCTTTTTATAATTATAATATATAGTACGTATTTTGTTCTGGTATGTACATTTCGTCGAATATTTCGGAAGAGATGTTTTTACATTTTTTGTATGACGTCCTTTTACATTTATTTCATTGTAGTTCGTTGTTCGTTTAAAGTGCACACAATTTTATTCTATTTATACAAATATATGTTTTTTAATTTATATCAACAGGTTTAAACTAATTGTATATGACATTTCACGATTTTCTTCAATTTAGACTGTAAGTTATTTTAGCATTATTGTTTCTTCTTTGGATTTTTATAATTTTAATTTTATTTATATCTTGTAAATTGATACGCATTTGTAGATCTGGCTGATGATGATCATTATTGATTGATCGAAACCGGTACCAAGTACATTTAATACAAACAGATTCTTTAAGAGTTTAATTTCAACTTTCCAAACATTACCATTTGGCCTTTGCGATATGGACCTTTTCAAAAATAATAACAACGTTAACAAAATATTATTAATCAGAATAAATGTTGAAAATGCTGCCCCTCAGCAGCGACGCACGATTCTACCCTTCGCCTCATTGAATTTCGTATTCTTTCAAATATTCCTGGTGTATTCCTAATAGTTTCATATGATGCGATATGATACGATTTCATAAATCATTGATATTTTCAACAGGACTTGAATAAACCAGGGTTTTAAGAAAACCCCAAAGACAAAAATCTAATAGATTTAATTCCAGATTATTCTGCCGTCTTGAGAGACATGCGGCTAAACTCGAAATTTTTCTAGTTCTAGGTTTTATGTTAGTTCTAGTGATAGTATTAGTGCAATACTAGAACTAACACTAGACCGAGAACTAGAAACATTCGGATTTAGCCGCACGTCTTTTAAATTGGCTAAACCCGAATGATTCTAGTTCTAGGTCTTGTGTTAGTTCTAGTGATAGTGCTAGTACGCAAGACGTACTAGTTTTACACCAGCTTGCTACCCGATACTTTCTAGTTCTAGGTCTAGTGTTAGTTCTAGTTTTAGTTCAATAGAAATATTGAACATAGTGATATTTAGTAGTAGCTAGCGCTACTTAGCACTGTAACTAGAACTAACACTACATCTAGAACTAGAAACGTTCGGATTTAGCCGCACGTCTCTCAAAACGGCTAAACCCGAATGATTTTAGTTCTAGGTCTGGTGTTAGGTCTAGTTTTGCACTAGCACTATCACTAGAACTAACACAATACCTAGAACTAGAATCATTTGGATTTAGACGTCTTAAGAGACGCACGGCCAAACCTTTGTTTATGTCCAAGAACAAGGTTGCGGTTTTCCTGTGTTGGATTTTGGCTGCTTGAATATTGTTCGTGACAACATTTAAAGGATGGATTGTGGATTGTTTAGGTCTGAAGCCGAATTGGTGTATAGGGATTTTGTTATGTGTGAGATTAATAATTCTAGATTTTATCACAGATAATAAAGTGATATTCGAGGCTTGTAATAATTGTGCCCTTCTTCCATATAGGTGGAAATATGAATTTTTGTATGCAAAAGTTAAACATGTTGCAGATTGTGTTGTGTACTTCTGAACTAAGTTGTCTGAGTAACTTCTTGGTTATAAGATCAGATCCGTGGCATTAATTTTTTCCTTTTGCAAGATGTTCGTCATATTCTTCTGGAGTTATTTCCCGTATTTGATCATGGTTGTGTTTGGATATGTTCAAGAATCTTGTGTACCACTCGCTTATAAAATGTTGGTGTTCATTATCGTAGTCACTATTTGGATTGGGAGTGAAGGAATTTTGGAAATATTGGACAAGTATGTGGATGAGCACTTCCAGAGTTGTGTCATTGTTTGTCGACATCAGATATGTATTATCTGTATGTCTTTTTATAAAATTGGAGTTGTCCAGGAACAACTGGAGTTCTTTACGTCTCGCTGAGTTAAGGTTGAAATCACCTACTATTATTGCGTATTTATTAGAGATGTGTAACACTGCGCTGCGCGGCGCAATTGAGTTAACTTAATGCGCTGATACCCAATTTTAAAATGAGTCAACTCAATTGCGCCACCGTTGGCGTAGTAAAGCACGGCGGTGTGGCTTGAAGATTTACAAATATGTATGTTAATGAAAATTCCAGCCCTTAATGACGTATAAAACCTTAATTTGCTAGAACTTGGAACTAGACAGCAGGCGGTACCGGCGCAATTGACCAGCAAGAGATAGATGTGATGCATGCAGCAACTATGTTATGGCGCAATTGAGTTGATACATTGCGCTAACTCATTTAGGTGCGCTAGTATCAGTGTGTCAGCGCAGCAAATTTTGCTGCGTTACACATGGTGGTTAGTATTTATATTACGACGCTTTGTGGAATATATTTTTTTCAAGGGGAGAATGAGGGTGGATATATCAAGGAAGATATGAATAAGTGCTGAGTTGAATGGGATGATGCAGTGGAGACATTCATTGAAAGGTCTATTCAAGAATGGTGCATTTGCTTTACCGAGAGGATTTTCTGGATTCATTAGTATTATAGATCCACCTCTTGTTCCATCTCTTTTACGTCCATTGCGCTATATTATCTGCCAGTTGTTATAGCATATCTTTTGGTCGGTTCTCATCTCAGTTTCCACAAACATTAAGAGATCCATATCGTGTTGTTGAAGGAACTTATACAGGCTGGTTCATTTAATGTGGGACAAGCGATTATCTCGTAAACGGTTCATTTTTATGTAAAATGAAATAAAAGTTGTTCTGTGCGAAGAGGGAAACCATATGACGATAACATTTTTGACCTTGACCTTATTTTCGAGGTTATATGAAGGTCACGACCAATTTTTTAAATGGCACCCTATATAGTTTATTGTAAAATCTGAATCTGTGGATAAAAATAAAGTAATTAAAAAAAAAGTAAAATAATTTTACTATGTGGTTTTGCCAGTACAACGGCAAAACATCTTTTGAAAAGTCGCAGTTTTCCTGTACTGGATTTTGATAGCTTGAATGTTGTTCGTGGGAACAATTAAAGAATGGATTGTGGATTACTTAGGTCTGAAGCCAAATTGGTGTATAGATAAATATTTTTCTGATCACAGGTAATAAAGTGATAGGACGGTAGCCTTCTTCTGTGTTGTTATGATATAATGTTGGAATGTCGGAATCTTTCTTCATCGTACCAATCAACATAGGACAATTTTCCAGAAGATAAACAGCCAAAGGATAGCTAGTATAGTAATTATCGGTTGTTATATTTCGATTAGAATTTCTTATCGATTTCACCAACCTCTGGATTATGTCGAACGGTTTATTGGATGTCTTGTGAGATCCATCACGTTGAATTCCACAACATATCTCAAATATCCAAGCATAGAAGGTCTTACTATCACACAGATCATACATTTTTATGCCATACTTGGCTGGTTTCTGTGGCATATATTGTACATCTCATCTTATCTATATTGTCATCTTCACAAAACTATCGTAAATATTTCTGGTAGCGGCTAATTTGTCAGTTTTTTCTCGATCTTTTCTATTTCTTACATTGTCAAAACGTAAAGCGCGAAGTAGAAACAAAAATCTCTTATCACTAAATGCAGCCCCCAGTCTTATCATTCCAGTGCCATCGTTGGTCCATAATTTATGGACATTTATGATTTCGTTTCTTTACCGCAATAATGAACAGTGCTCCCAATAAAGCTTGAATTTTGATACGGCAAGTTAATTTACAATCTCTATCCTTTTGGTATACAATTTTTGATCTTCTATTCTCAATATATATATATATATTTGTGTAAGATACAGACTCTAAACAATTTGACACATTTTTTGCTAATCCTTTGTACCTAGGCATCATGTTGACAATATTTTTATGTTTTATTTTCTTAACAACAGCTACAGAAGTACATTTCCAAATTGTATCTATGTCTTTACCCACATAAAATTGATAGTCTTCTTTTTGTTTATGTGATAATTTCATGTATTCGTCGTCATCATTTTGTAGATTGTTCGGATCCACTATTGTGATGGTCTTCCTGAATAATTTCATTCTCGCCTTCACTTTCATCGCCAAAGTCGACAATATCGTCTTCTACATCTGATAAATTATCTATAATTTCTTGCAATTCTCGGCCGCTCGAATAATTATTTCTGCACTTTCTGTACCTATATTTAATAACAAATTTATTTTTAAAAGCTCAATTACATATAGTACATACACAGAAATTTTAAAAATACGTCTTTGAATAATAATAAAACACTTACGTAGTAAGACACTTAGTAACATTTAATAAAAATTGTTTTTCTTTAAAGATTCTTGGCCTGGAGTGTGCCAAACTGGATCTGCTCAATCCCCAATAGATTTAATTCCATCCAAAACAACAGATCGAGTGTATTCAGCATTTATCTTTGAAAATTACGACAAAGCTTACCAAGGAAGAGTTAAAAATAACGGACATTCTAGTAACAAAACATCTAAATTAATTAATCATATAAACTAACGTATTTTAATAATTTTAGTTGCAATTACTTTACTAAATGGTACAGATGGAGCCCCTATAATTACTGGAGGTGGGTTAAACGATAAATACATCTTAGATCACATCCATTTCCATTGGGAATCAGAACATACAGTTAATGGAGAAAGGTAACATTTAAATTTAATTTTTTATATTTATTTTATTTAAATTTTTTTAAAATTTTAGTTTCCCTCTTGAAATGCATTTAGTGCATTACTCAATAAAGTACTCGAGCTTAACAGAAGCAGCAGAATCCCAAGGAATTGCGGTTTTAGGTGTATTTTTCGAAATATCTCTTGATGACGACGACGATTTCATTCCGTTAGTTGAAGTAATGGATAGAGTTGAGAAAAATCCATCGCAAGAAGTCGCCTTAGAAAGAATGATTTCACCGAAAAGTTTCCTTCCAAGGCACACATCAGATTATTTTAGGTATCAGGGTTCTTTAACAACCCCTGGATGTAACGAAGGAGTTACTTGGACCCTTTTCCGAAAACCTTTACCAATTTCCGCCGACCAATACACCCATTTTGAATCAATTTGGTCCGAAGAAGGACCTTTAACGTTAAATTTCAGAAAGGTGCAACCTTTAAACGGAAGAACTGTTACTTTAAGACAATCCCCGGGTCGTTCTTATAATGGAAAAGGATTTGTTGTTCAAAGTAATGTAGTTTTAACTATTTTAACAACACTTTTTGCGTTTAAAAGTTTCTATTAAAAAAATGTACTTAAAAACATGCATTTCCCCCAATTACATTATTATTTTTGTTACCAATTAATGTGTTCTTCTCAGGGTAAATAATAAGGTTTATTAATTAATATTAATTTTAAGTGTACTAGTCACGTTGCAAATTGGATTTAAAAAAAAATTGTATTTAAACAACTTTTAGATCTGGAGGATTATCTTAAAGAGTTATTGTTGCATTTTTGTGATATTTCAGCCATACCTTTACATAAATTATTAGTGTAACATTGATTTAACTTTATATTTAAGGTGTAAATAATAAAATGTTTAAATTTAATTATTTTTTTGAATTTAAATAAACGTTTGCAGCGCCATCTCGTGAGTAATATTTTCTTCTCTTTCTAAAAAAAAGAATAAAAAAAATCAATTTTGAATAAAAATTATTTTTATTTAATTAAATTTTTAAATGAAATATTCATGAATGATAAGTATGTTAAATATAATAGCATATAAAAAAATTATTTAATTTTTAAGTAAATGTCATTAATGGCTCATACCAACCCTTAAACAAAAAACACCCTACACATTAAATTGAATTAAAACTTTGTAAAATGGCTCCCGAACTGTTTACCCTTTTAATAACTCAATAACTAATCGTTGAAATGAAGCAAATAAGCCAAAAATATCACCGTAAATCCCATTAAAAGTAACTCACCGGTGTTTATTTATAATATTCCCAGTACAAAGAACGCTTATATTAACTGGTAAGTTGAAAAAGTTTTCTCAAGCCCTTTTTAACCGCTTTTGATGTCCCATAACAAAGCGTTTTTGCATCGTTTAGATAAGAAAATAATCGGAATAAACTGGACAAATACGAAGAAACCGCGTAAAAGGAACTAAATTATAACCTAAAATATCGCTTTAAACTTCAAATCTAACCTAAAAATCTGTTTACATCGAATGTAAACAATAAACACTTAATTTATTTGAAAAAAAATCGAAAAATGCGTCATTTAGAAGGTGTTGAAGTGCCCGTTAAAGCATCAAATGATGAAATGTTTGGAATTAAACAAGAAGATTTCGAAGAACTCACCTCTAGTATTAACTTAAAGGTGGAAATCCCTGATATAAGTTTAGATGATTGTGAACCATTCATGAAAACGGAATTTGTTGATGTAAATGTTCCTTATAACCTCGATGATGATTTGGGGTTTGATCTTGCCGATGTTGAGAGTGAAATTTGGAAGTTTTCTCAAAACGGGAAGAAAAGTGGGAGGAAAAATAAAAGGAAATCACATGCCCCGCAAAAAAATACTAAAAAGAAGGAAATTTCAGTTAGAGATGATAAAGACGACGCTGCTAGTTTGGAGAATCCCACTGAGAAAGATGTTTTTAATTCCAATTCTGAGTTGCCGCAAAGTGATCAAGTTTTAAAGGATTTTGATGAAGATAATATTTTTCGAGGGTATGCTGATGATAAAGGTAATAATATTTATTGCTCAATAACATAGTCAGTTAACATTAAAGACATTTCAAAATACAAAGAGTAAGAATAAAAGTTATTTTCAAGTAACATATTCTTATTATAAAACTTAAAACTGTAATAGTTAATATTCTGTTGGGTAACACTCAAACAATGTAAAGGTATTTCCAGAGTTTCCCTGTTTCAAGTATTATAACTATGATTTTTTCCAAGTTCATTCAACTCACTTCTGTTCTCTCATAATATTGTAATGGACAAAATCATATGTCTTGAGATAAACATAGATAAACGTTTTGTAAAATGCAAAAAATGTTTTGAGCAATCCAGAAAACGTTCAAAATCTTTAAAGGATTTGCAAAATCTCCAAAATACTGCTAGATAATGTATATCTTGCAATCAATATGGAATCTTCCAAAATAAAAAAAGCAAGTATGCTTATTATATACTTTAATAGTGTGAAATTAGCTTTGAAGAATAGCTGATATTGTGTTTTGTCTTGAGTGTTAGAGGTATCCTAAAGGTTTTCAGTGATATCTAGAAAATCCAAAAAGTTTTGGAAACTTCAGAAAATCTTTAAAATCTCCAAACGATTTACACAAAGTACAAAAGTTTTAGTTTAGATGGTTTCTAAAGAGATTCAAAGATATCCAACTTGTCTCAGAATATTTTTAATAATTTCAAAGGTTTTGCAAAATCTCCAAAACACTTTTAGAGAATTTCTAAAGATATTCAAAGATATTTAGAGATGTTCAGAATCTCCTAAAGACGTCTTGGAATATCCGGAAATTTTCAATAATTCCGAAGATTTTGTTTTTCGCTGACTGACGATCGAAGTATGGTACCATTCAACTTTAGCAAATTTATCATTCTTATCCAACTGATCATTATCTGCTAAATGTATATTTTTCTTGCCTCTGAAAATTAGTAGACCTAAAAAAAAACTTCTAAATCGTTATCTAAGCTAAATTGAGGACGATTATAATCTCTCGAACATTTTATGAAATTTGAAATAATACATTGCATGACGCTTTCATCAAACACAAGCTTATTTGCACCAGGTAATATCTTCAAAAACCGGCAATTTGATTAATTGAGTGGTAAGCGGCAATTCTTGATTTAGTAAATCAACCTACATCTCAATTGCGCAATTGTGTGGAACTTTTCCAACTTCGACGTCAGGCAACATTGTTGCAATTTCATTGTCTGGTAATAGTATGGCAAATCTTGTATTCCACCGATAGTTTCTTCATCAATATCTTCCTCATCGGTCAAATTGTCAACTTTTTGTAGAACATAACAAATATCAGTTATTTCGTGGATCATGACCTTCAAGTTCTTTCAGCCTTGAACGTCTTTTTGGATCATTTTCATATTTGACTTTACTCTAAAATCACAAATATACTCTCTCGCATACATATTTACACCATTATAAAATATTCTTGAAATATACAGTGTGTCCGTAAAGTAACGGATATAGGCTATAAAATCATAATAAACGGTTCATGGAAAAATCCCTGAAACGGGTGTAAAGATTTAAATTTTCCGATATTTTTTTCAAATGGCAATTGGCTCCCATTTTTATTACGGGATATGAAAGAGGATTTTTTTCTGAATCTAATACAATCAACATTAATATTGGTTACATAAAAAAATTTTCCAGAAAAATTACTTTAAAGTTTAATTACTTCAAATTTGTATAAATGATAAAAATAGCAGTAACCATGAGCAACTATGGCAACCAATTATTTTAAACAATTCCATGAGTGTCAAAAACTAATTTAGTAAAACGTCTTGAAGTGTGGTGCCGCGCCATCTTGTTGGAATAACTGCCGTTGGAATTGAGTTGGGTCAACATTACCGGGATGGAAGGAATGACATCGTTTTGAAAAAATTTATTTCTTTCCAGTTTAGGTTTCCTCAAATCTTTAGTGGATATTGGACAAAGTCTTCGTTATCGTTGCAAAATTTTTGTTATAAAAACTACATTCATTGCTCGTGAATGAGGTTTACTTAATGGGAATGATATTTTGCGGGTTTTTCAATTTTGTGAACCGTTGATTTACTAATGTTTAAATTAGACCCAATACTCCTTATAGTAACATGAGGATTTTCTTGGCCAGCCAAAACCACGGTTTATTGAACTTCTCCTGAAAGATTTAGTAGGCCAGACTTCCAGACATGCCCATCCTTTTTAAATTTAGTCACAACTAGGCTCACCATACTGCCAATAAGTTGGCGATCAGGATATGTTGTATTAAAGAGGTGAACTATTTGCTAAATCAGTTTTTGACACTTAGGAAATTGTTTAAAATAATTGGTTACTCTAGTTACTCATGGCTACTGCTATTTTCATCATGTCAACAAATCTGAAGTAGTTATATTTTAAAGTAATTTTTCTTGAAAATGTTGTTATGTAACCAATATTAATATTGACTGTACTAGATTTAGAAAAAAATCCTCTTTCATATTCCGTAATAAAAATGGGGGATTGCCAGTTGAAAAAAATATCGATGACCTCATAACACATTTACAAATGGCGGAAGAAATTTAAAATCTGTACCAAACTATTGCAAAAAATTTATATCTTTAGACCCGTTTAAGGGATTTTTCCATAAACCGTTTATAATGATTTTATCGCCTATATCCGTTACTTTGCGGACATACTGTATAAATGATCTTGAAAATATTATACAGGGTGATTCACATAAGAACCGACACAGAGCATGGACATGTACAGGACAATAAATTAAAATGATTTAACGTAACTTACCTCTATACTAACAAGGGAAGTGTCACAACTGTGTCTCACCGATTTCGATGCAATTTGGTACAGTCATAGAATGGGCCAAAATAAGGTTCGCACATTTTTTTATACGTGCGGTAAAAGCCCCTGGGGCGAGTTATAGGGGTTGAAAGTTTGGAGAAAAAGTACGTTTTCACTTATATTTTGAAAACGAAAAGTGCTATCAAAATTTGGTAAATTGTAACTGATATTCATTTTAAAAGAGCTTTCTTTTGATGTGTCACACATATAGCAGAGGGTTAAAAAGGGCGAACTACCCCTATTTTTTTGGAATTATTTAAAAACCACCCTATCGATTTTGGCGGCATTAAGTATACTTCTAGTGCGTTCAAAAATATTAGTTAAGGGTTTTTTCCCATTCGCCCTAGATCAACCCCAGCGAAGTTACGGGGGTTAACATGTAAGCACTTTTCGTAAGAATGATGTGATAAAATTGTCAGGTATTTTGAAAATACTTTAAACAAAACCGTAAATTAGTCGCACAATAAAATGTTTAGTGTAAAATAAGGCATAATACACCATATAGGGGTTGTTGGGGTTATCCACCCCCTTAAAAATTAATTCTATCCCGGGCGTTATTTGTCGATTACGGCGAAATTTGGTACTGTGTTTGTTTTATATTTGAAGTAAAAATTTTTGAAAATGGTTATAAGGGTTACAAATTAGGGGTAGTTTTTTGTTTATACCTCGAAGATGAAAACTGCCATCGTAACTGTGGTATTGTTTTTTAAAAATCTATCTATCGATGTTCCACGAGGTAAACTACCCTCATTTTCTTTAAATAATAAATATAAAACTACTAGATAAATAAGATATTTTATTTATTTATGAGTTAAAAAGCAACTGACAAAAAAAATAGTTCAATATACCAAAGAAGTTTATTCTACATTACTAATTGACGTTTTTTATGTATTATATTAATTTTCAATATTAAATTTATTTTTATTCTACGTAGTGTTGGCAAAAATGAAAGTCGTGGAAAAAATGTTTTAAACATAAGGATTTTTTACACCATGCACATGTTATGACCGCTATATCCCCACAGATATCACACGTTGGCTTCTCACTCGAAAAGCAAACTTCCACGGGATTTTCAAAATGGTCTGGTCTCTCCTCTATATAGCCACTTGCAAACCATGCGTATTTAAAAACATTTATAAACCGAGGGGAAGCCAACTGGTTATGCGTCAACGATTGCAATTTTAATATGTTATCCCTCTGATGTAAATTGACATCATACTGGTAAAGAATAATCTGATCAGAGAATCTTCTAATAAAATTTTTCCATATTCTGAAACCAAATACATCTAGGGGCTGTATTTGACCTGTTGTCCCTGCAGGTATAGATAAATGTTTAAAATTAGTACCTGATGGAGTTATTTCACTAATAACTTCAGGACAATGGCCACTCCAAGAATCTAATAATAATAATGATTTAGAACCAGTATTTGGAAAATATACATTTTGGAGCCAATTTTTCATGTGTTCTGAAGTTAACTTTCCAGATTTTGATGCCAAAACGTATATATTGTCTGCTTTAAACATTGTATTTGCTACCCTCGGTCCAAAGCTGCCAGAGGGTTCTTTTAAAACAATAAAAAGTGGAGAAAGAAGTTTCCCATCAGCAGATATTACGGGTTGAATTGTGTAACTGTGCGTTGTAGATGACACCGACTGGACCACACTTTCTACGGTTTTAACTCCTAAATCGCTTAATGTTCTTCCCGAATGGAATTCCAAGTTAAAACCGCTCTGATCCGAATTGTAGGTGTTTTCAGGTCCATATATTTGGATTTGTAGCTTTGCCTCTTTAACGAAATCTTTTGCTAAAGTTTTTACTCGATCAACATTTCCAATTTGTTTTTGGGATAGAAATTTTGTTATTTTTCGGCTTACTAACCGATTTGCTTTCTTAAAACGTTGCACCCAGCTATGAGATGCTTTGAACAGTTGAGGAGATAAATTCTTTTCATTTCTAGCTTGTATAGCCCATCTGCGTATATCAATATCATGTAGTGGCAATTTATTATCTACGGCGGCTCTCGCTTGATTAATTACAAATTCGGTAATTTCTGCTAATTTTTCTTTGTATGTCCCTCTTTCTTCAATATATTTAGACCATCTGTGCAATTGGGTCTTTGACGTTACTTTTCGGTATTTGTTTTTTACGGTTTCTAGTTTCAAATAACCTTTCTT